GCGAGTGGCTGGGGGGATGACGCTCGTGGTGGCGCCAGGCCGCGCGCCTCCCTGCCTCAGGTAGAGGTTTGCACAGGCCGATGTTTAAGAGCCCGGCCCGGCCCAGCCAGCTCTTACTTTGGTCCGGGCTCGCCCGCGACCCGCTGTTGATTTTCTACAGCCGGCCCGGCCCGACACTTTAACTTAGACGGGCCCGCTCAGACCCGTTTCATTTTTGTCAGTATCAAGCTGAGTTTACGCAGAATGGCAGGCTAGCCTCCCACTACATACTTATTACAGTGTACTTGAAATTCAGTATCATTCTTTAATGTCATACTTATATTTACATTACAATTCAATAGGCAATAAATGTTTGCAGTAATAAATAAGCACACAAAAACACTCCTTGACGGGCCTTCTGAATTCAGATAAATTATATTATAAGAAAAAAACTAAACATTCCATTTCGCGAGACGAAGTGTAATAATGACTGAATATGAATACGAGATGTTCACTTAAATGCATACCAGGTCATGCAGTTACTGAGACAAATAAGCACACGTGACGTGAAGCCAACTAAAATACATAGCGAAACTCCGTTGACGAGAAAAAAAAAAAAGTCACTTCAAAGTTTCAAACGCGGCAAAATGAAACAGACACCAAATATTTTCCAAGACTGGGGTTCATATTAGCACATAGTAGAGCGAGTGTTCTTGGAGGTTCTTGTGCAAAAATAGAAGATTATTTACCGCATCTGGCTTTAGACGGGTTCTCCTTTCCTGGATGAGATTGCCAACAGCACTGAAGTTCCTCTCACTTGAAGCACTCGTGGCGGGCACACAATGTAGCTGCTTGGCGAGTCGAGGAAGTTCTAGAAGCTCACTCTGATGGTGCCTCCAAAAGGATAGAAGTTCGCTCTCACTGACGTTTGGAAAATCTGCTTTCAAATAACGCTGAAGCTCGTCAGATCCTTCAGCACGTGAAGTTGATTCTCGCACATCTTCCCATTCAAGAAAGTCGTCCGACGTCGTTTTCGCTCGCTTCGTTTCTTGGGGTCCTGGGAGCTCCGAATCTTGGCTTACGCAAGCCGAATTTAATTTCAATCGCTGCCCGACGTTCTCGAGGACTGCATGCGATCACTGCCAGAAATCATGCGAACCTGACGAAACTGGGGCCAAAGAAATGTAGCGATCATGTGAATGTCGTGAGCTTTAAACTTTGATCAAGGTATTGTGCCGGTCGCTCCTTGATCCGCGTGAGGTCATCGTTACGGCGGTATGAGGCGCTGAAGTGCCTTATGAGCATGTACAAGTGCAATAAGAAAAACGGCTATGTTGGAACCGCCTCCCCCTCCATCGCATCGCTGCATCTTTGAATGGCTGAAGAAAATCAATCAGTCGCTTCATATCGATTTTGGTGCTCCCTTCTATCAGGAGGCTACCTCGTTCGTCCAGCACTGCTTGGATGTTTTCGTACTGGTCATGGACCGATTTCAGCATGGCTAGTTTCGAATTCCACCTCGTCTCAACGTCTTGATTGACGGTCTTTTGCAGGCGGTCAAAAGACCCGCCTGTTCCAAGAAGGTGACGACAGTCTTTGTCCTTTCAATGAAATCCTTCAGGTTTGGTACTTCATTTGCCATTAACTCCGAGTTCAACACGTGGCAAAGCACAGTGTTCAACAAGTGAGCTACGCAGCTTAGTCGTGTGGACGACTGTAGCGCTTTAACAATGTTGGCGCCTTAGTCTGTCAAGAACGTGATGTTTTTCTGCAGCTCCACATTAAGCCCCCACTTCAGAAATCTGCGCTGAAGTTCTCTCCTGATGTTTTCGCCGGTTTTTCTTTCGTTAGGAAAGTCACAAGTGAACAGTACCTTCCTCGGAATGTTCCACTTATCATCGATGAAGTGAATTGTCAGTGTGGTCTAAGCACATTTCCTTAAGTTCTCAGTCCACAAGTCAGTGGTTGCTGCACATCTACTCTCTTTCATTGCAAGTTCCACTTCCGATCTCATTGCGTCTCGGAGACTGTCCGCGACTTCGGCCACATGCCTTGAAATAGTTGTAGCCACACGTAGGATAGCCGCAACGTCACCATTCCCGAAATTGGCGCCAATTTTGATTAGTGCCTGACACACTTTTCGAAAGCCGGTTCCACTTACTGTGCCAAAAGAACGTAGTTCTTCGACGCACATGTGAACACATGCCGTGATTATACTTCACCTCGACTTTTTAAGGATAGGTCGGGTGCCTTTACCTGAAGGAAGGAGGTGATGGGTTTTGTAGGTTGGACAGGTTTGCACCGGTGCCGGCTAAGGTGCGATGGGCCGGTTTTGCCGCAATTGTACGTCAGAAATCTTTTGCAAACATTGCACTGGACGAATCCATGTGGTTCCGACGATGCTGCATCCACCACCATAGAGAACGTCTTCCACACATTGCTGTTCTTGGTGGTTTCGCTCAAACGTTTTAGCACATCGGATGATCACTGCTTTTTCAATTCCGAAACTCTTTTTGACACTTGCATCTTCCACCTGCACGCTACTGCACTGCCGGATCGAGAATGTCGTCTCCCAAGCCGTGAACGTGAGAATACTAACAAACAAAATACAAGACTATTTAGGCAGGTTTTATTGTCCACAGAAGTTGTGAGCCCCCCCCCCCCCCCTTTCAGCTTACACAGACCAGCTCCACCGCTGGCCGCTGGCGTTTTAAGTTGATGAAATGGCTCCCACATTTTTTTTCCCAGCTTTTTTGTGTATCATACAAGTGTTCCCGTCCCGCAGAAAGCACTACACGTTGTGCTAGGTTATGCGCAGGCTGTTTGGTTTATGTAAAACAGCTCGAATCGAAGACACTGGCAGGGAAAAATAAAACGAGCACAAAACCTCTTGTTTCGTGTTTGTCATTCATTCGCCAAACGTTGCCAGCTAAGGATGTTTCAAACGTCAACATTTCTTTTTTTTTTTTACTGCTGCTTTTGTTGAACAATTTTGGAGACATAACTGCCGTCAGGCAGCCCCGCTCTCTAATTAAAAAAAAAGCGGCCTCCGTTTTTTTGTTTGTTGTGACAAAACCCGCGTTGAAAGCAACAGTAAGCGAAATCCCGTGCAAAAGTTACAAAAGAAGGGAAGCGTCTCCCCAAGTTGGAAGTGAGAAAAAAAATATAAAGAAACGACGAACTATACTCTGTCCAGCCCTAGGCACAGTCTACGCTGGAAGCGATACTGTCTTTGTTGGACCAGTCATACGTCTCTTGGTACGTCATTACGCTCCAGCCCATACCCAGGCGCAGAGAGCCGGATCAGGTCATAAGAGGGAGGCAGCTGATTGGTTCGGCGGAAAGTTAGCTCCCACTAGAGTCTCAGCTATGGAGTGAACGGAGTATACTAAATTGCTTGCTCCGGCCCTGCACAACCGACAAAAAAATTGCCATTAAAAGAATACCACCGTCTCCTCCGGTGGTTTGCCAGAAAGTGGTTAAACGAAGAAGCGCCTTTGAGACAACGACCTTGGCGGAAGGAGCATCTCTTTAGCCATATTCTGGATGTACGCAATTGTAGGCAAAGATTGCGTGAGTCTACGAGGGTGGGCACTGAGCATTGTGTATTCCATTTGTGTCGTTGCTGGATGGGGAGGAGCGCTTCCTTGACGGCGGTGCCGCCGGCGACGAAAACGGCACACGCACCCCAATTGCTCTCTTCTTTTTTTTGCGTGACCGTATATTTTTACTTTATTCTGAAAAAAAAAAACCTCCCCTCCTCTCCACCCTCGCCCCTATACTTAAAAAACAATCAAGTCGTTTTTGTTGGCCTGCCTTGGTCCGCCTCGTAGACTTAGATGCAAGGCCCGTACCCGGCCCGGGCCCTTCATGAATGTAGCCGCGAAGCCCGAGCCCGGCCCACGGGCTGGCCCGCACCCGTGCAGACCTCTAGCCTCAAGTGCCATCGCAGTGCCCATATTCGGCGAGAGTGCCAAGTACCCCGCTGCATCCAGTGCCGTCGGTTTGGCCATGAGAATGACCAGTGCTTGCGGACGTACCCGGCCGTCTCTGAGCCCGTGAGACAAGAAATACTTCCGAGTTTCTCATGTACGAAATGGACGCCAGGAACCTGGTGGCCGTTAGAGAAGAGGTCCCTGGAGTGGTGCCAGAAACGACCAAAGGTGTTTGAGATGAGGCCTCCGGTGACGTCAACAGAGACTACCTTAATTCGTGAAATTAACCGTTGGTGCACCCGGCGGTGATGACTGCAAGAAAAAGGAAGCCCTCGACTTCGATGAATTACCGGTCTGGACGGACACCGAGGAAAATGTGGACATGCCCATGGCCAACGCTTTCGCCCAGGCACTTAAAATGGCAAGGGAGACAGGGCATGTGGCGGAAGGCGCCCCCAACACAACCAGCACGGTGTGAATGAACCAGGGCTTGCAAGTGCACTAGGTCAACCAGATTTCCGATGGTTCAAGCTTTTACAAAGTACTTGGCAATAGCAGTGTTTTGGCTCTCGTCTGGTAACTAGCCATTTACTTTAGGCCAGTCGCCGGCCATTAACTTTAGGCCGGTCACTGGCCATTCACTTCTGGTCAGTCACTCGCCATTCACTTTTGGCCAGTCACTGGCCATTCACTTTTGACCAGCCACTAACCATTAGTGGTTGGTTTAATATAATCGATCCATACATTTCGAGGTTTGGCTTATCTAAAAAAAAAAAGTAAGATGCACTGAATCAGCCATTTGGAGAGAATGGCTATTTTTGTCTCGCTGGTAGCGCGTTGAAGAAGGCGACCGCAGTAGTGCCCGCAAGGCATTGTTTGAAAATATCCGAGGAAACAGCCCACTTACCACAGTACGGCGTCACAAAAGGAAAAGATATTTTATGCATGCAACGGTGAATCCATTTGTCAGATGTTCTCTATATAAAGCTAGCAAGCTCATGTATTTAAATTCGCTTAAATAGCTTTCAAGTTTAAAATTCCCGACACGCGTGCATGCATGAAGAAACCACACAACAAACACCAACATTTCATTAAGTCAAGGGAAAGATAAAAGTGTTTTCTTTTTCTCTCACTCGTTTACACTCTGATCTTAAGAGCCCATTCCACCTGCGACCTCCACACAGGTGCCGGTTATGTAGGAGCTTCCAGAGCAACACAAATATCTGGCCACGTCGGCCACTTCCTCCGGGTTCGCCGATCTCCTCATGGGAATCGAAGTAAGGGTCGATTTCAGTCTTTCGTCGTGAAAAAGATCTAACATGGGGGTGCTGGTTGGTCCCGGCAGCAGGGCGTTCACGCGGATGTTCGTGCCGGCCAGTTCTTGCGCCAAAGACTTGGTAAATGCAATAACGCCGCTCTTGGAGGCGGCGTACGCGGCATGACCAGCGCGACCGGTCTTGCCCAAAATACTAGCTATGTTAACGATGGCGCCCTCGGGTACTTTGTTTTTGATCATCTCATTGACAGTGGCCTGGTTCACTAGGAAGGTACCCTGAAAACGAAATGAGGTGTTAGATTTCACGAAGTGAGTTTAAGCCTTTGTTGAAGAATGTTCCGAACAAGCAGCAAACCACATAATATTTTTGTGTTTAATAATTTCGGTCTTATGAACTTTTTTTTTTTAAATGCATACTAGGCTGACAACGGTCTTGAAGATCCAAACTATATCGCCATAGAGTAAGAATATATGCGAATAGTTGAGGAGAAAAAAAGAAATTTGGTGTTCAAATACGCGGCGGCAATCGGAGAACGCACTCTAAGAAAAAAAGATCAAGAATGTAGCAAGGATACGTTTTTTCTTTTTCTCTAGGCATGAAATAATATAGGATGGCAATGCATAACTTTTATTTTAAATTTGACTACTAACATACCTTATTACGTTTTTCGGTAACGCCTGCAACACTGCACACAGCCAATAAAGCTGTAACTTTCAAGTTTACCTTACAATATTTTTAGGGCGCAGCTCTTAGGCGCCAGTTTCCGGCTTGAGCGGCGTCGCCGTCTCCGTCGCCGTCGCCGTTGTCGTAACCGCGCGTTGCATTATAGGTAACTTTCCCCGCTAAATTTAGCGGACAATTTACCCCGCAAAATTTAGGGGTAAAATTCCCCGCTAAATTTAGAGGAAAACCTTCCACGTTAAATTTAGCTGAAAAATTGCCTCGCTATTTTCAGCGGAAAGAGTTCCCCCTAAAGAGTAGCGGAAAAGTCTCTCCGCTAAATTTAGAGGGGACATTTTCCGCTAAATTTAGCATCGAACTTTTGCCACTAAATTTAGCGGGGAACCTTTCCCGCGAAATATAGCGGGAATTTGTTTCCAGTTTAATTTAGCGGGAAGTTTAGCGAAAATTTCCGGCTAAATATGAAGGGACAGGAGAGGAGGAGGGGAGGGTACGGAGGGGGAGAAAGGGTATACAATCCTCTCCACCTCCTGAAGAGCTGAGCTCTAATACGGCATTACACAGAACCGTAAACGTCTTTCATATTATTTTTTTTGCTCTGTTATTTTTTGGGTTTAAACTTTAATATCTTAAAATATAAATTATTCTAGCAATCTTTTTGTATATCATGTCAATAAGAGGCTAAACTTACTTCGTAAAAAAGGGCTAGATGAGTCTGTAAAACGGGATATATATTTGAGGATCCTAGTAATATATAGACAACAGAGAACAAAGGTCCCAGAAAAAATTCCCGGTTAACACCAGAAGTGACATTCACATGTTCAGCCTTCCCCTGTTAAGTACCAAACATAGCATTCGTCCACCCACGCTGTTCCTTAGCCAAAGCAATATGTTAATGTCAAGTAATATGAAATATTAATCAACGGTTCACAAGCTTCCGTGTTTTCCTCAAGATCCAAAAATAAACAGTCGCCATCGCCTCCCTATCGATGGCGCCAGCAAGAAAGTGAAATACGTTGGCAAGGATGTAGCAGGTTGCTACAAAAAAAAAAATCCGGGCTTATCTAGAAAAAAAAATACAAAAAGCTTTTCTACGTTTTGGTGAGCAAGGAAGTTACTATAAATAGCATGTTCTGTAAGTTTGCATATAATACACGTTAAACAGATTGGCCTATATTTCGCCACACAGTTTTTAATTTCTGATTTGGGGTTGGGTACCGGATTTCCCATTTTCCACTCCAATGGAAGCCGACATGAATTCCATGCTTACTCTTCACAAGAGATTTTTTTTTTTAATTTACCCGGAGAAAAGTGATGTGATCTGGTTGATTTTTGCTCATCGAATATCCGTAATATCAAAGCTAGACGGCGTGCAAAGTTCTACCCCTTGCACACCTCGTGCTCTTCTTTACCCCCAAATCGTCCCACTTGCCTTTGTTTACCGCCAACCACACCGAATGACGGAACGCGCTTGGTTGCGTCGTCATCGGGCGTTCCCTGAGCGCTATATATATTGCCCTTTGATGGGTGTGCACCCTCTTTCATTCTGATGTGCCAAAAAACTGATTTTTGGTACGCTAGGTGCTATAATCAATTATACTTTATTTGCCTCGGTGATGTGTTTCAACGTTGGTAACACGTTCGGACGACAGCGTGGGGTACTATTTCCCCAAGCTACAAGGTGTCCCCGAAAAAAAAAGTGTTAGAGTGTTTTTAATCTGTAAAATTAAATACACGTCGTCGAAAGCGCAGTTTCTTTAAAAAATGTGACGCTAGCGGAACGAACCACATGCCAACGTTTCAAGGCCGAACCGTTATTTTATTCAAAATCTATAAGATTTTTGGGGAAAATTTAATAGTAATATTGCCGCCCGCAGAGCCAAGAAAGCAACGCTTGGTCACGGTCTTCTAGAAGATTCCCGTTCATTCTCGCACCAGACGTAACTTTCCCTCTGCTTTGTTATTCTCGAAAGTGCCAGTTGATCCTCGCCCCGAGCGCGCGACGCTCGAGCCTTCTGTGCCGAACTTTCGAGATAGTGAGGCACGGTAGATAAGCAGCTATACCCGCGACCTTGTCGAGTCAGTCTCGCTCGTGCTTTCTGTTTCACCACCGAGTCGCCGCCGGCTCTTCTGCTCCCTCGACGCTCTTTCGTTACTTATTTTGTTGGCACAAGTTCGCCCATTAAAACTTTATTTTCAGTTCAATTTTCGCCTTCTCGTCGCCTTAATTCGTGACATTTCTGGTGGAGATGCTGGGTAGCCGACCATGTCTGCCGCCGTTGCCCGTACCGGCAGCCGGGGCTACGCGGTTTCCATCCCGACGACCCGCGCCCACGCTATGGGAGCAACCGCGCGAGATCGACGACTACCTACGACGTCCACTCTCTCCGATGCCTGCGCCTCGACGTCAGTCTCGTTCGCCTTCACCTCGACGTCCTGCAGCATCACCTGTCCATCGGTCCCGCCGACAGAGCCTGTCTCCCGTGTCCCACCGGGAAAACTGAGTGCGGCAATACCGGGAGGTGGTATTGCCGAGGACGAACGACTCCAATATCCTCCACAAACGTCGGAGGGCTCCCCTTATAGCGACGAGACTCATCAGAGCGAAGCTTCTGAGACGGTGTCCAATAACCTCGATGTTACCATCGACGGCCACGACGCAAAGGCACTCGTCGATACCGGAGCCTACTATCCTGTTTTAAGTGGGAAGCTTTCTCGCCACCTTCGTGAAGTAATAACGCCGTGGGATGGCCCGAAAGTACGAACCGCCGGCGGACATCTCATCACACCTCATCAATGGGATAGGTGGACTGCCCGCGTGGAGATCCACGGAGAGACCTGCCACGTAAAATTCGTTGTCCTCGAAGACTGTTCCAGAGACGTCATCTCCGCATGGACTTCCTCTGTGATTACGGTGCGGTTATCGACTTTGGAGCAAACGGGTTGACGCTGCGAAAGCCCGTGTTACATCCGGAAGGATCCAAAACGTCGCCAGCCGCCGTCCGAGTCATTGCGGACTACATGAACCTGCCGCTACGGTTGAGTGTTCTTGTGCCCGTCGTGACCGATGCAGTTGCCAGCAGCGAAATCCTTCTGGAAGGCAATATCCAACTGCTTCTCGGAAGAGGAATAGGCGTCGCAAGGGGCGTAGCAGAGCCGCAGGATGGACGTTCTGTGGTCCTCGTGACGAACTTTCGACCGGAGGCGCAGCACCTCACGAAAGATGCCGCTGTAGCACACGTCGAGGAACTCCGGGCCGACGCCGAAATCGCCGTGATCTCCGACGAGCCCTCGCCATGTCAGTTGTACAGTACCTTGCCGCCACAGCTCGATGTTAACCCCAAGCTCAGCGTCACGGAACGACGACAGCTCGGAGACCTCCTCGCCGAGTTCAGCGACTGCTTTGCGACGACGTCGAGGGTGCGCCAGACAACAGTTGATAAACACCGCATCATTACCAATGAGGACGCGCTCCCTGTGCATCGGCCGCCGTACCGGGTCTCCCCAAAGGAACGAGAGGCCATTCAGGAACAAGTACAAGAGATGTTCAACGACGACATGATTCAGCCTTCCAGCAGCCCGTGGGCCTCTCCGGTCGTACTGGTCAAGAAAAAGGACGGAACGCTTCGATTCTGCGTTGACTACCGGCAGCTCAACGCGGTCACGAAGAAAGACGTGTATCCGCTCCCCCGCATCGACGCCACGCTGGACCGGCTGCGCCACTCCCGATACTTTTCGTCGATGGACCTCAAGAGTGGCTACTGGCAGATCGAAGTCGACGAACGGGACCGAGAAAAGACTGCCTTCGTCACGCCCGACGGACTGTATGAGTTCAAGGTGATACCCTTCGGACTGTGCACGGCGCCGGCAACGTTCCAATGTGTCATGCACACCGTCCTGGCAGGCCTCAGATGGCAGAGCTGTCTCGTGTGCCTCGACGACGTCGTGGTATTCTCTGCCAACTTCGACGAACATTTGCGACGCCTTCGGGTTGTTTTTGAGGCAATCAGGACCACAGGACTCACCCTCAAGCCGACGAAGTGCCGGTTTGCCTACGGCGAACTGAAGTTCCTGGGCCACGTTGTGAGCAACGAAGAAGTAAGTAACACCTTTTGGCGGGCTAGTTGGTTCATGATTTGTAGAAATAAATTAACTGCGTAAAGGATTTCTACCTCTGTCCTCGTCCTTTGCGCAGTTTTATTTATTTCTACGAAAAAGTAAGTCCTGACCCTGAGAAAACTCGCGCCGTAGCGGCCTTTCCACCGCCCACCGACAAAAAGGCCGTCCGGAGATTCCTTGGACTTTGCGCATACTACCGGCGATTCGTTCAGGATTTCGCCAAGCTTTCTGCGCCGCTAACGCACCATACGAAAGACGCCGTGAACTTCGAATGGGGTGGTGAACAACAGGGCATTCGACGAATTAAAGCGACGGCTGCAGTCACCACCGATTGTCGGCTACTTCGACCAATCAGCCGAAACGGAGGTTCACACGGACGCCAGTAATACAGGAGTCGGAGCGGTACTGGCCCAACGAGAAGATGGTGCGGAGCGCGTGATCGCATACGCTAGCGGGACGCTGTCGAACGCGGAACGCAATTACTCGACAGCCGAGAAGGCATGTCTGGTCATCGCCTGGGCCATCACGAAATTCCGCCCGTACTTGTACGGAAGTCCAGTTCGGGTGCTCACCGACCACCACGCGCTGTGTTGGTTAGCGAGCCTGAAGGACCCATCGGGACGCCTCGATCGGTGGAGCCTACGACTGCAAGAGTACGACGTGACCGTGGTCTACAAGTCAGGCCAAAAACATAGCGACGCCGACTGCCTGTCCAGAGCCCTTGTCGAGTCAGCAACCGGATGTGACAAAGACGACGGTGACGACGACGACCATTTTCGTGGCGCGGTGAGCATTCACGGTATGGCAGCGCTCCAGCGGGATGATCCTGAGTGGCGTGCACTGATGGACCACTTGGAGGGACGAGGGGGTACGATTCCCCGAGCCTTCTCATGTGACCTGCCAAGATTCGCCGTCCGGAAAGGTATCCTCTATAAAGAGAATTTCGGGGACAACAACTCGACGTGGCTCTTGGTGATTCCCGCTAGTCTTCGAGAAAAGATCTTCCAAGCCTGCCTCGACGACCCAACATCTGGTCACCTTGGCTACAGTAGGACTCTTGCACGGATCCCAGAAAAGTACTACTGGCCCAAGCTCCCGAAGACTGTCCACCTCTACGTCCGTTCCTGCCACGAATGCCATCGACGCAAGAAATCACCGACAAAGCCGGCAGGTCTTCTGCAACCGATCGCGCCCCCGACTGCACCATTCCAGCAGATTGTAATGGATCTTCTCGGACCTTTCCCACCGTCGACGCAAGTAAACTGGTGGATAATCGTGGCAACTGATTATCTCACCAGGTACGCCGAGACAAAAGCACTCCCGTTGGGGACGGCCGTGGAAGTAGCCAAGTTCTTCGTGGAGTCTATCGTCCTCTGACCCTACGCTTCCCAAGTCCTGATTACGGATCGAGGATCCTCGTTCATGGCGCAACTGACACAAGAGATACTCCGCCTTAGCCACACCGACCACCGCCGGACCACGGCACACCACCCGCAGACCAACGGGCTGACGAAGCGTCTAAACAAGACCATCGCCGACATAATTTCGATTTACGTGGACGTGGAAGGCAAGACGTGGGATGAAATGTTGCCCTACGTCACGTTTGCGTACAACACCGCGATTCAAGAAACTACCGGCATTACACCCTTTCAGCTGGTGCACGGCAGAAAGGTGACGACGATGCTTGACGCCATGCTGCCCCACGACCCGACGGACAACGGCACCGACGACGCCCAGCTGGTCACCCAACGAGCAGAAGAAGTACGCCAGCAACGCCGTCATCGAATAAAGGACCAGAAACGTGTGGACGCTGGCCGGTACAACCTTCGTCGCCGCGACGTGGAGTTTCAGCCCGGAGACAGGGTATGGGCGTGGACGACCATTCGCCGCCGCAGCCTCAGCGAGAAACTATTAAAACGCTGGTTCGGACCCTACAAGGTCATCCGCCGCCTTGGGGACTTGAACTACGAGATGCTCCCCGACGGAACTCGGCCATCAGGACGCCGCCAGCCACGACCCGATGTCGTCTACGTAGTTCGACTCAAGCCGTTCTACGCGCGTTAGGATTGTGACACTGCATGTTTATTTTGTTTCACCGTTAATGTTTTAGCCATTTCCGTTTTCCTTTCGCTTTGCATCGGGGCGATGCACTTTTAGAAGGGGGGATCATACAGCCCGCAGGAGCCGAGAAAGCAACGCTTGGTCACGGTCTTCTAGAAGACTCCCGTTCATTCTCGCACCAGACGTAACTTTCCCTCTGCTTTGTTATTCTCGGAAGTGCCAGTTCATCCTCTCCCCGAGCGCGCGACGCTCGAACCTTCTTCGGCGAACTTTCGAGATAGTGACGCACGGTAGATAAGCAGCTACCCGCGACCTTGTCGAGTCAGTCTCGCTCGTGCTTTCTGTTTCGCCGCCGAGTCGCCGCCTGCTTTTCTGCTCCCTCGAGGCTCTTTCGTTACTTATTTTGTTGGCACAAGTTCGCCCATTAAACCATTATTTTCAGTTCAGTTTTCGCCTTCTCGTCGCCTTAATTCGTGACAATATAGTGTCCGACAGCGTGATAAATACATGGGTTTGAATGGCTCAAGCTACACCGAACGGGCTGCATTTTCCGTTTTATGCTTATAAAAATCACGTAACTTTACAATAAGAAAACGTTCAGTTCTGTAACATTAACATCTGGTTCGGCCGCTAGCACCACATGTATAGGTTAAGAGCAAAGACTGAGAGATCGGGGATGTATAGTTGATTTTTGCGGTGACGAAAACACAGAATGTTTTCCTTTCTTTTAGTTGGGGGGGGGGGGGGGGGGCAGGATGTAGTTTAACATACACTTCTGAACCCTATGGCGAAGATAGTCGAACATTGAGAAACATCCTTTGGGGAGACTCGCAGTATGAACCAACTATACTCAAAGAGGCTATAGGTTTATTAGGGCCACGGCCAACTAACATTTCTTCGTGAAACACAGTACACCGATTCGAAGATTCCAAGAAATCTGATTTTTCAATGTATTGTTAATCAATAATAATAAAGAACCTCACATACAAGTTTAGTCAAATTCCCAATAAATGGATCATTTCTCCAAGCGTGCCGCGAGTCTGCAAATACCTCTGGGCCTTACTCCTCTTCGCTTATGTAGCATGGTGGGTCTTATAAAAATGCATGTTATGGCATTTATTCTGCATCAGAAACATCAAAATAAGTCATTCATTATTTAAAGTATTACGAAGGCAGGAATAAACGAGTCCTTATAACGGAGTCCTATAAGTATCTTGAAGACATCTCCAGAATGGTGATTAGTCAAAGGCTTCTTTTACGATTTCTAATTAAAATAATAATAATGATAATGACAGTAACAATTATAACGCTCAGGTAATGTCTTATGTTGCTCGTGCCTACAAGCAACCATACTGGGGTCATGTGATGTGCCTATTACACCAAAATCAAACACAAAAGTCAATTATAAATTTTATTAAAACACTGAAGGAACAATTCTAATACTGGTACAAGCATTAGTTTATGTTCCCATTATAAGTATAATGGCGACATTAACATAAAAGCAGAACGTTCTAAAAAAATTTAACATAGAGTGGGTTGTGTTTAGAGACGTAAAAATAAACTGCGCGACATCAAACACTTAGTCTCCGTTTAAATGTAACGCAAGCGGTCCGAACTAAATCAAAAAGCTCCCGAAAGAACCGTTATCTTATTAAAAGGTTGTGGGCGATTTTGAAAACTTTTGAACTGAAAATCTTGGCCGACGAAGCCGATAAATACACGAGGCTGCGCAATACCGTAAACCATCAAAAAGGGGCTCCATTTTCTCATCGGAATTTCCTGAAAATTACTTATAAGTTTTGAATAAGATTACAGTTCTAGAACTTTGGCATCTTGTCAGGACGCGTTACATTTAGGCGCAGAATGAGCGTTCGGCAAAACGTACCTTATTTTCAATCTAAAAAAAAACTACTTCTTTTTTTGTCGTTGACACACTTTGCTGCTGACTTGTCAATCAGAGGTCACTAATGATTATTTTATGCGGTAAGACCTACCTTGAGGTTCACTCGCAGCTCTTCATCAAAATCGTCTTCCGGAGTGTCCACGACTGAAGACCGCTTGGCCACGCCAGCACAGTTGACCACGATGCTCAGAGGTGTTGTGCTTTGAGTACTGGCGTTCTTGATGAGGCTAGCGACCGAAGTAGAATCGCCCACGTCCACATGAAGAGCGAGGTGACCTTTGCCTGGTAAATTTCGAAAGAGACGGTAAGAGTGCACCCGAAAATATTATATATATTTATTTACTTATTTAAAGTTCCCTCGAGACCAGGAGTGCATGGCAGATACGAGTGAGTTACTGTTATATTAAACAAAAATGTTTTTATTAATTCAAACAATTATCATCTTATTGAAAATTCGTCTATGGAGCCAACCAGGATTTTTTTAAATATTTTGACGTACCCTTTAAAATTGTTTGACGGGTCTCATATATTCGTCGAAGTTTTGTAAAGGGCCTGACGTGTACGCCTGGACCTCTCAGGACTTCAATAATTTCTACAGGGTATAAGAGACCAGTATTAGTTTTTTTTTTTTTTTTTTATATATTCCTGTGATGCCTCTCATAGTCCCAATCTTTGCCATAAAAGCATGGTTCCCCCCAAAATCGTTTTGACGGGACTGTAATAGAAATCAGAATATATGCTTCGGGACGTTTTCTCTTTTAATATTTCGGTTGCGAGCTTTTTGCGAAAGTGCTTTGCTTTCCGTACGTTAGAAATTAATACTGGGGTGACAGTGGCACGTTTTATCATGTTTGCGACAAGTGTATCAACACGTGTCGCATGTATCAACACAAGCGTGTTGATACATTTTAGGGTGGCAATCTTTACGTTGGACGAAACACCCGTCTCTCTGCGTTTGACGTCCGATAAACTCGTCGTAATGATGTTCGACGTAACTGCGCACCGAAACACTATCCGTCTAAGGGCCCAGACACACAACTGTGTGTCTGTGTCTTTAGCCAACAACGCCAACTAAGAACTCTTGGTTTGCAACTTCCCGTCGGCGGCGTATGTTGGCTTCCCTTGTATTTTTTATTGCGACGCTTAGGTGAGTATGTAGTACCACAAACTCAACTTCTCCTCAGAATAAATCACGCCACCCAGCAGAGAGCGCGCGCGAAAGATCTTAGCAAAACGTGCCGCACCGCAGCACGCATAGACTGGCAGGTGGCGCAATGCACCACCCAATATGTGGCGCACAGCCCGTGCGTACTCTGTACAGTCCCGCTGGCAGCTTGAGCTCTGCGGCTCTACAAGCAGGGCACGTCACAATTTTCTTCGAGTTTGTGGATAGCCGCGCTGGGATCTCGGGTGAGTATTGCTTCAAATATATGTGTTTCTGGTTTTGATCGAATGCTTACGATTACAGTTTGGACAAGAGTTTCGTGTCTTGGAGGAATTTGGCGAGAAACGAAGCTCTCACGACGTTAGTCACCGGCCAGCTAGGCCCATTTCTGCCTAGCTGCGAGGGGCCCTCTCTAGCAGCGCTAGTGGCGCGGGCTTGCCTAAGTCGAAGTTGAGGGGTGAACCCTCCGTATAATGTCGCCATTTTCGCGGTGGCAGCACACGGTGTGCACACGTAGATAACTTAGCCAAACAATTTGCGTTCTCGTTTACAGGGATCCTGCAGTGTGCGGGGCGCTATGCAAATCGACGGTCGGCTGCGGGGGATGCCGCTGTCCGGACGAACGGTTGCGTGTCGCCCAGCTATGGAGGTGGTGAAGGGCCGTTTGGGAGTCTGAGTTTCGAAAGGGTGACTACCGACGCCAGCGGAGTCGCCGCCAGCTCACGGAGCACAATCTCGGTCGCCCCCAGCTCCCCTCCGTCTTGGGCGGACTCGATGGAGCTGTACACGGTTGGCTCTGTCGATCGCGGTTATTCGCTCCCATCCATCCCGCACGGCCGGCGAACTTCACCGAGTTCTTCGACTTCCAGGCGACTTCCTTTTCACGTGCGGGAGATTTGGGCTGACGTCCTGTTCGTGGCTCACGATCAGTGGGAGTGTCATTTCTATCATTTACCGCTGTTTGTTTCAAGCGCTGCCGGGGTTCCAAAGGTTTGACTTGTGATTGTGCTATGTGACGCCTAGTTTTGGAGTTCGCTGTCACTTCATCGTAAGTACGCCGCAAAATTTTATTGGCCTGTCACGATCATTCGCGTGAAGCGTTATACATATTAACGCGGTGTGTTGCAGTTTTTGATGTTTTTTTTGTTTTTGTTTTTTGTATTTTGGTTGCGAGTACCTTGATATATACCTTTTTGCGACAAATCGCTTGGTTGTTTCTTTTTAGTATGACCTCTTTTGTCTACAGCTGCTTGCACGAGAGCTTGAGCACACCTTGCGTTGGTACTTATCGTCTTTTTATAAGTTCGAACATTCATGGGAAACTCCTTGTCTCAAAATAAACTTCCAAGAATGTTTTAGATTGCATTTGTGTTTGATGGATCACCCTAATTTGGGTGTCTAAACGGTTGAAGGGCTGAGGGAAGCTGAAGGGCTAAAAGGATTTGTAGGGTTGAGGGGTTTGATGGGCTGACGTGGTTTGAAGGGCTGATAGGGTTCCATAACACATTAGGGTCGAAGTGTTACTTTTAATCGGGCTGTTAATGAAAAAAGAAGTGACATCGAAGGGGCAGTTTGAAAGGCGACGCCTTCAGATAAAGTTACGACTGACACTAGAGGGTGGTTGCATGATAGCGTGGTTTCTGCTATGAATGAACTGTGAATACTTTCAGTTTAACACGATGGTATGTCTACCTTATGTGGGTGACAGAGACGCATTGATATTTAGGACAGAAGTATTAGTAGCGTTTAGGGGCAAAGCTCCTTAGGGGCTAGCCATGTCCGTATGCCCGTCCGCCGTCGGGTGCACGTGCTCCTGCTCGTGAGCTCACGCGCTCACGTGCTCACGAGCACGTGAGCCCGTGCTCCCGTACTCGTGTAGGGCAAAAAAAAAGCAACAACCGCATTTCCACGTGGTGAATGATGTTGATTGGGGCGAAGCTCTGGTGGTGCTTGTCTGCGTAGACAGTGAGCCGCAGCATGCCGAGCCTTTCGTACGTTTTCACCCATGTCAGAAAGAGAATGTGTGGTATGGAACGTGGTATATACGCATTTGAGCATTTGACCGCAGCGTGACATGAATGAAAACGAACGAAAGGCTCGGCATGCTGCGGCTCAGCGTCTACGCAGACAAGCACCACCAGAGCTTCGCCCCAATCAACATCATTCACCACGTGGAGATACGGCTGTTTTTTTACTTCACTGATAGTTGTGATAGATTTTGTAAGACGAGCACAAATAAGCAAGTTTTCTACGTGATAGAACGTTAGGCACTTCAAACTATATCACATAAATGTTTCGATGGCAGTGCGATGATACAACGTATGAATGAAGAGATTTAGTTTGGACTGCTTCAACTGCACACGTTCATATGTTAGTACCGGGGTCCCAAATTAAATAGTCGTATTCCAGTTTGGGACGAACGAGAGTTTTACACAGAAGTAGTTTTGGAAAACGTATGGTAACTTCATGTTAACTGGCAGACAAGAAACTGATTTTTTGGCATTCGATAAACAAATTAAAAACTTTGAAACGGTGGAAATGTCTTTCGTATATTCGACCAAAATTAGAACACACATTAGAGTCAGGACTCTGCGCTATAATTGCATTATATTCCAGCAAAAAGGAAATTATTAGAGATGTGGCGTATGCCGTTTAGAAAATGTCTACGGTGGAACTCTATACTACAGGCTCATCTGAAATTTTATTAAACAGGAGAAGAAAGAATCCTTGTGAAGCATGATATAGATATTAGATGCACACCTGCAAAACGACAAGAGCCATCAACTTCTTTGTACTGCGATTGGTCAACAAAAATATGAATATAAAACATTGACGGAAGTTGCTAAAAAACCTACGTTATTTTATTTTTGCCCTAGAACTAAAGAACACTGCAGACTGTTAGTAATGTCATGCTCCGTTGTTTAAATAACATCTGTATCAAAACAAAACAAACATCTACATACACAGAATGAGAACGGCAGGGCGATCCTTTCTAAAACCCGGCCTCAAGAACTAGCTCCATTCCTTCCACCGTGCTTTGGCTGCGCTCGCGCGCTGAGGCGCACAAGGATCCGAAAAGCTGACGACGCTATTGAGATGTCGAACTGGAGGCGGGACAGCTGAAACTGCTCCCTGCCGTTCTGACCTGATCAGTGACTAGCATAGCCTAACCAAAGACGTATGCTGGTTATACTGATGCGTGTGTCAACGAATCGCCCACCCGCTTCGCGATATCAGATATCACATTTGCGATTTTCCGAAGTATCACGCGTCCCATTGCCTGGATAGAACTTTTACGCAAATACCCCTTCGAGCGTTTCGTGGTTGTCTTGTTTTCAAGTTTCTCTGACTCTTTGTAGAACTTTTACTTCCACAATCCTATCCGAATTTTCGTCAGGAGCTGCTATCAACGCACAGACAGCACACACAAAAAGTCCGGCTGGTTTGCTTCTTTGTTGGAGATACCCAACTACCGCGACCTATGAAAGACGCTGAGCGACTGTCGAGAGTTTACAATACTTTTCACAGCAACATGGCGTGTCGGTGTGGCACTATAATCTGAAAAATTCATACGTCAGGGTCCGAGGCACGCAGAATGAAACGAAACTCTCGTAATACGCTTCGGCATGTTTGTGAAAGGAGGTCCCAAACATTGTTCCTGACTGTTCATTCGCGCTCTTGTGACCGCTAAACAATGCCCTCAGAAACGGTGCTTCACATGTCAGGTTTGGGTGCATAGGTATGTATGAAAATTCCATGAAGTGTATGTAGCAACAAACCCTAATTGTAAGAGTCAAAATATTAGGCGAAAAGACAAGATAATTTAGAACTACATCTTTGTGAATTTTGGTAACAATTAGCCTACCGACTGCGCGCAACAACACCTTGTGCGCATTGATAGATTGCGTAATGGAACAATGTTTGAAGGAGCCGGTGTCTTGACTTGCTGACTGGGATAGAGAAACAAATATTGCAAAACGTTTGTTGATGTCAATTTGAAGACACCTACAAAATCTACATTATCTATCTCGGTGTCTTTCTTTCATCTGCAATGGTTGCATACAATTTTCCAAGTTCTCAGATTCAAGGCAATGACAGGCCCAACCTTTCAGTTCAGCGGTGGTTGCCCTCGCTGCATCCAAGTTGATATCAGCCACGACGACCTTTGCCCCTTCTCTCGCCAGGGCGTGGCAGACCTCTTTGCCGATGCCGCTTCCTCCACCGGTGACGATCGCCAGCCGATCCGAGAGAGACATGTTCACTCAATGTGCGTGAATTGCTGCGAAAATCAAGTTTTAGTTTTAAGGAAGTACCAACTGTTGCTATAACGTACTCCTTGTGCTTCTGCCAGTTTGATAATGTTTCTGAATAGGCCAGAATTCATGAGATCCCCGTGGCTTGTGGGTTCAGGTATGTAGGACAAACTGGTCCTGGTGTTAATGGCTGTATTCGTGAGTAGAAAAAGAATCAGTGATGTCTATTCTGAAATTGTTTAAAATCTCGGTGTATCTAACAAGTATTAACCGGCTTGAACGCGAACATCGGTTCTTAAAACATGAAAGGATTAGTCCAAAAAATATGAGTACGGAGAACATCAGGATTACCAATTCTGAAAATTATATATACGTATTGTTACGAATCCTGGAAAAAAGTTGAAATTTTTGTTTTGCATAGTGCCGTTACTGAGGAAAGGGATGTCCCCTTTGTTGTGTTCGCGTTCGTTGTCATTCCTTGTTTTATTAAAGGAGGGGAGGATGGGACAGCACGTTGGGACTTGTTCGCTCGTCACAGAATTTGGGCTTGACAGTTGCGGTTCAGGTGACGCGGGAGGGACTTAACTTCAAGGAGGATCAGCCTGAAACAGATTTTGGCACGTGCTGCGTTTGAGACGTTGTTATCCTGTCATTTTGTGTGTGTGTCCTGTGTTTTTCTGTTTTTTTAGTAATTTTTTTTCGGATATTTAAGTGGTAACCGATTTGACCCCGGCAGAACATTCGTCGTCATTACACGACAAGTATCGAACCCCCCCCCCCCCCCTTATCCGAAATACCCGGCTTGCTTTTTAGACAATTCTTTTCGATAATGAACCTTTCCAGTGAACCTCTGCGCCTGCGCACACTCTCTCCCGCGAACCTTTCTTCCAATTGCCCCTTTTTCGAACGCGCACCGTCCAGCACAACTAGCATTCTTGGCACTACCGTTGCGCGTATTGCGTTTGTCGATTCTCTTTTGAGCATCGGTAGTATGGGCAATGTAAAGCAAGAAAAGCCAGTAAAACAGCACGATTCCAAAGTGTTCTGACGGGCGATGGCATGTTGAGCTGACTTTAGTTTCCACTTCGCAGTGCACTTGCGCTCGCTACTCGAAAAAATTCCATTCTGTAATGTGTGGCGTACCTCTCTCTCACTGTAGTATTGTTATGAAGGATGAAAGCTCCTTCTAAACCGGGCATTACGCGATGAGTAATCAAGACACAATTGTGGCATTGCCGGGAGCATTTGAGACTGTACGACCGTTTTTACACAATAACGTAGTTATCCAGAATGCCATAAAATGTTCTGAAATATACTTACACCAAAAATATTTACGGCACCTGAAGTTCATCTACAAATCTACGTCGAATTAATATCGCATAGAACTTGGTGGAATATAACTATCATGTTTGCTTGGTTGAATTCAGCTTACCATATCTTTTAACGATAGGTTCCAGCCTTTTAGTGAAAGTCATGATATAATTATAAAACTGGTGTTGCTCGGAGGCCTTAAAATGCCAGGGGCATAAACTACATTAGGCATGGAATAGCTCTTAAATAATAATTACTACAAGTGATACAGTATAGCGAAAAATACCAACCCTTTATTGATATTTCGTCGTGTACATACGCTTCATCGCTTTAACTGTCACGCATCATGACAGCACCTTGCGAGGAATTAAAAAAAAAATACAAAAAATATCTCACTACCATACTCTTCATTCTTCACGAAGAACAAAGAAGTGTACGCGCATAGATACATGTAATTTTCATCGAAGCTACGATTCTCTTTCGGCCCAGTGCTAAAGAGAATAATTACCTAACGAGGCCATGCCTCCCCCCAAGACGCAACGGCATAAAATATTTAATTCATAAATTTAGAGTCTAAATTTTATAGTCCTTCTGAAATATATCTTTAAGGGGGCACTGTTGCCGCTACATGGTCCACCTACGCAGTTCAGTTTGTGTTCTTAGTCAATAATTTTTAGAGCGCAGCTCTTAGGCGGTCCTTTTCGGGTTGAGTGGCGTCACCGTCGGCGTCGGCCTCGCCGTCTCCGTAGCATCGCCCGTGGCATTATCTCTGGAAATGCTTCAGAATTTTAGTGACTTCCTTCAGGTGAATCTCTTGCAAACAGAAGGCAATGGGACTGTGTTCCTCTAGCAGGTCAGTAACATCATAGCTTGCAAGAAGGCCTCGACAGTTCAACTTGAAAAAGAAGTGAGGACATTAATATCAGAAATAGATGCAGATATACGGAACACAGTCGATTAATCCAATCCAGGAATGAAGTTCCCAGAGAAAACTACTTTAATGGATTTACTGGCTTTTTTTTTTCCTTAGATTTCAATGTCTCCCACTCCACGTGCTCCTGGTCGGACGAAAGAGCGGAAGGCTCAGTGGCCTCGTCCCTCGCCTCCACATCTTGAGACGAGACTTGTTGTGTAGGTCTGGGCAGAGTTGAAACACGGGGATGAGCTCCCCGTCACGTTCGCCCGAGCTCAAAGGGGCGACAGTAGAGGTGCGGGGCTGAGCGTCGCCCAATCCCATCCGTCCATGCCCTTCAGGTGCTGAAGGATCGGCGTGATGTCGCTCCTTGGACGAGGCCATCTCCCGTGAGTTGGGGCTTGACTCCCGCTCCTTCTCCCTGGGGGGAGACCTCATAGTGGGGACAGAAAGAGGGGCTCCATCCCTGTCCCGCGGCCGAGGGGCAGCTGGTGCACTCCCTCCAAAAGCCGGAGAAAGCTGCTGCCCCTGCTGGGTGGTAGGGGACTGAAAAGCCACTGCCAGGACCTCAGGCGAGACCTGGGTAGCCTTCGATTCTGTTCGCGCTGCTTCCCCTCCGTACCGCCTAGGCAAACCTTCATTTTGCCAAAAAGAAAAAAATGTTGTTTCACCTCCTGGTAAGTAATGTTCTTTTGTGATTTTAGGGTTAGGATTTCCTTTTTCTTTGTTTCCATTGCGGGAAAATTCTAGCATAAGCAGCACGGTTGCCTTGGCAGTGGACACATATCACAGTATTCTCACAAATGTCAGCAACATGATTAGTGCTGCCATACTTCGTGCAAGTTGCACTGCCCCGACAGTTCCGCGAGTCATGCTCGAAGCGCTGACATCGGAAACATCTTTGTGAATTGTGAATAAGAGGCCTAGCTTTGCAGTGTAGGCATCAGGCGTTAACGGTCGTGGGAAACGTATGCAGCTTAAAGGTAAGGATCGAATGCTTGGTTAATTGCTCCTGTCCGTCTCTACGGATATTTATCCGCTTGAAGGCCACCACATCCTGTTTCTGGAGTCCAGCCAAGATTTCATTCTTAGTACAATCTATCTATTCAATGTCCGATGTGGGCTGACTTATCTGGGTACACCCTGACATGTCTATTTTAGAAGCGTTCTGCTTTAAACTTCAGTTTAAACCTCGACAAGAAGGCTACCAGAAAACTTTTTCGCTTTGTAAGCTTTGACGATGATGGCATCACGACGTTTTGACACTAGGTAAGGGAAGAGCTTAGCCAGTGGCTTTCCTCCATCTAGGGCTTAAATGACAAAAAATCTAAGAAATCTTGGTGGTTCACATGCTTTTTCATAAGTAAGTACGGAGCAGCCCCTTTTAGTGGGACGCATCGTGTTGTGTTTGGAAAAGGAAACAACCATAAGAAGGCAAAGAGCGTTCAGGATTTGTGGCGCACCGCGTACCACCGAGCCCAACAAAGGGATACGTAATGTGTCATAACAAGAGTGGCTTGGCAGACACAGTTAAGATAACAGTGCTACTAAAAAGCTATAACTAAGTAAGGTCTGGAAAAGGGTACCTGTCACCACCCAAGGTTAGCCCTCTCTGCCAAGCTATAACCAAGTGAGGTCTGGAAAAGGGTATCTGTCACCACCCAAAGCTAGCTCTTGCCGCCAAAGAAGGCGAAATAAGAAGTAAGAGGAGAAGGATAGGAAATGTAAAGAAAAGAAAGTTGGACAAAGGTGACTAGACTGAATAATCCTGGTCGGGCCAAGCCAGGACAACCGTCTACGAGAAGCAGGAGCCGAAGCGGTATATTGTTTCGCCTTGGGGGGGGGGGGGGGGGGGCCCGAAGGGTTTAAATGTACCCCGGGCTCAGCTGAACCAAAGGGATCCCCTTTTCCCCGGACACGTGTTAAGCCACGCACAGCCAGGCGTGGGTGGGCGAACCCGCATGGCTCAGGGTTCGTAGTAACGCCACTGACCAAGCACCCACTAAAGTAGGTGCGCCCTGTGTGCGGGTATGGTGACCCACGTAGTTGGGGTCCGTGGTGATGCCCTTCACCAATCACCTAGCACCTAAGGTGCAGGTGCCCCCTGCGGGGCTCGTGGTCCATACGGATGGCACTCTCCAAACTCCTGCTTTCACAGCTACCCTTTGCGGGTTTTTAGATTAAGATTTTGAACACGCGGGAGTCCCATAACATATGTTCGTGAAAAATCTCGCCCAATGCTTTTGACCCTAGTTACGAATTTCACCCCCGAGGAATTCATAATTCATTTCGTGGTGGCATTATACACTGTACCTTTCGGTTTGAAGATAATTGCATTTGTTGTACTTTCATTTGGTCTTAGCGAATGGGAAACAGTCCACGGACTAAGTTTTTCAAAGCTTATATTTGCATCGGTAATTAGACTATCATTGTTTCTTCCTGAAAAATATATACTGGTATCATCTTTATAAATGCTCTAGTTACTATTGCAAGTAATGCCTCATTACTTGCAATAGTAACTAGAGCATTTATAAAGAGCAATTGCCCCAAGGACACAAACTACTACTGTAATGGTGACAGGGACAGCGGCAGCAGCGGTAGCATAGGTTCAATGTGTAAAATGTTTGTAAGAATTACCAACCTGTAACAGAAGTGTTGTCCAAATTAGCGATGTGGGAGATAGGCTGCCGCCGCTGCCAATGGCCGCTGTACGGAGGAACCCGTCCTTATCTGCCCTTGACGCAGGAAGAGCTGCGCTTGCGCGAAAAAGTCCGTCGCCGATCCGAAGCGAGCAGAAAACAGCAGCATAATACCGCCAACGATGAGGAGCAGAAGCTTGCCGAAAGCAGTCGCCAAGAAACGAACAGCAGGACTGAAGGGGCAGACGATGAGCGATACGAGCACAACTTCCGAGGTTGAAACTGTAACAGACGCGTGGTCAAAATTAGCGATGTGGGCGATATGCTGCCGCCGCTGCCAAGATACCCAGACTCTGGGAACCTTGCTCCCTATCTCTATCTTGGCCATAAACTATAGGAGTTTATAGCCAAGATACCCAGACTCTGGTATCTTGGGTCTTTCTGGTCTCAAGGATTCCAGACAAACACATTTGGCGCCAAGCACCGTGCTGCTTTGGTAGATCTTTGAATTATATAGGTAAATAGAACATCGCACTGTGCACATAAATCAAGCTATCTAACTTTACAAGCAAAAACATGATTCATTATAAGCGCGACACCCGCAATAAAACAAAAGTTATTAACCTGAACAAAAATTCTTAACATCAAATTGATTGTTGTCGTTGCCCCCGGCTGTCCGCATTTAGAGAACTTCTGTGCTGACTTCTTCCGTTGTCGATTAGTTTTGATAGCTTCGCGGTTATAAGGCTCTACTCATACTAAGGTAAACATTACTCATTCGCGACACGCGCTCAAGTGTACACGATAACAGCCACTCAGACCTGTTTTTTTATCTTGGCGTTTCTTATCGATGGTCATCAATAACCACACAGTTTGAGTGCCGTTGCGACCTATGTAGGCGCTTGCTATTCTATCTTATGTAGACTTGAAATGAAAGATACCGCATTGTTCTATGTGAAGTAAAGGTAATATCGTTCATCAGAAAAAAAGGTACAAAGATTCGATAAAATGATTGTCGTAGCAGATGCGTTGGAAGCCCGAAGAGATATCCCAGCGATATTTGTCGCTGATCTCGGTTGTAAGTGTCGAAAAGGTCATGACGCTGAAGTGACAACATAATTTCGTACCAAAGGACCTTTTTATAAGAATTGCCTGATCATTTATATAATAAATTTAGATTTTTTTGTGATTTGTCCGTCATTCCATCGCTCGTCTTGTTTTTTCTTTAATTTTATGCGGTGCACTTTATTTAATATTTTATTTCACGGTATTTACATAAATTTTTAATGCCAAATAGAATATCTAGAGGTGCGTTTTCGTAACAGCCCAAATATAACGCAGTTTAACGGTGTATTTTATTTTATTTTATTTATTTTTGAACTTTAAGGCCTGGTTCCTCGTCATTTCCGCCGTTTTAGTTCTCAAGTACAACAATCAAACGCAGTTATAATAGAAAAAATCGTAAGGGTGCAGGCGAGCTGGTGAATATTAACCATGTTGAAATAACCTGAGACTGGGGTAGAGAAGACGCATCAAAGCGTAGAAGGGACAGAAAATAGACAGGACGACGTCTCAAACTCAGGTAACTTCATTTATTTTGTCCACCTCCTTATATAGTCCCAAACTCAAGGTCATCTCCACCAACACAAAAGGATGAAGTCTAAACAGTTCAAGCGCCACAGCCTTCGTCAAACAATGCAAGAACGTTGACAACGTTTACAGGTCGACGCGATAAAGCAACATATACCCTCTCCACAAAAAAAAAAAAAAAACGATAGTTGGGCTAAAACGCGTGGATAACCACAAAGCAAAAAGTTTTACAGGTTTTTGGAAAAATCACAAACAACCTAAATAAAAAAAAATCATTTTTAGAAAGCTTTTTGAATTGCTTCCAAACTGTAGTGAAGCCTGACTTATGCAGTTGCCTATTGACTTTATCCGCACGGTCTCCCTTATTACTCTCTTTACATCGTCCCCCCCTCTTTGTGTATTACTTCCGTCTCCGACCAGTGCGCCGAGCAGTTGTTACATTCATGAATATGTTTTGCTATTTCCTAGTTTTGTGCATTGTTCATTACATTTCTTTTATGTTCGTTTAATATGTCATTTATGCAGCGTGACGTTTGTCCTACACACTTAAATCCACACTCTAATGGTATCTCATACACCACACCAGTCTCGCAACAGACGGAGTTTTCCCGATGAGCCTTTTTGCACTTACTCTTAGCTGTGTGAAATGGCGTCAGTTTACTTAATTTGAAATCTGAACTAAAGACAGTGTCTACTTCAAACTGCCTCGCACATGCCTTCAAGTTGTGAGAGATGTCATGAAAATAAGGGATGAGAGCAAAGCAGTTTCTTGGTTTTTGTTCAGTGTTTCTCCTGTCTTTAATAAATAATTCTAATTTCCGTTTTACAAAACTGTCATAATAACCTACATTTATGAACCTTTTCCATCGCCTTTCTACTGATTCAGTGATATGATGGACACATGACCTTTCTAACGCGTTCCTGACCAATGACTTTACAATCCCCCCCTTTACGGTCTTCGAATGACAACTCATTCTTGGCAAAACTGGTTTCGATTTTTCTTTACCATATTCCCAACATAACCCTTGATTTACCTGAATACGTAAATCGAGAAACTGCAGAACATTATCCTCCGGTTTTTCGACAGTAAACTTAAGTTCTGGAGCCGTTGACCTTATCACACCTTCTATGATTTCTGTTAGACCGTCCCTAAACGTGCATATTAAGATGTCATCAACATATCTCCTCACTAACGCCCTACCCGCGGACAACTCCTGTAGCTTACCGTGCACTGCACGATTTAAAAAGTTTAAGTAAACTTCTGCTAAAATCGGTGCGACTAAAGACCCTATACAGACACCTTCTTTTTTTATATACTTTCTTCCTTCGTACTCCACTACCGTTGACTTCAGATAAAACTCCAAAATTGTTAAGAAACTTCCTACCGATATACCTGGACCCGCCTGGAACTTAACGAGATTCAGCTCCAATGCCTCCCTGACTCTCTACATTAACCGGGTATTTTTTAGGGAATCAGCTCCGATTGCTCCCCGACTCTCTACATTAACCGGGTATTTTCTAGGGAATCAGCTCCATTGCCACAATAATACACAATGCCAATGCCACAACAATGCAGAAAACTCGGAAATAGCAAAACATATTCATGAATGTAACAACTGCACGGCGCACTGGTCGGAGACGGAAATAATACACAAAGAGAGGAACGATGTAAGGAGAATAATAAGGGAGACCGTGCGGATAAAGTCAATAGGCTACTGCATAAGTCAGGCTTCACTACATTTTGGAAGCAATTCAAAAAGCTTTCTAAAAATGTAATTTTTTTTTATTAAGGTTGTTTGTGATTTTTCAAAAAAACCTGTAAATCTTTTTGTTTTGTGGTTATCCACGTGTTTTGGCCCAACTATCGTTTCAGTGTTTTTTTGTGTTTTTTTTGTGTAGAGGGTATGCTGCCTTATCGCGTCGACCTGTAAACGTTATGAACGTTCTTGCATTGTTTGACGAAGGCTGTGGCGCTTGAACTGTTTAGACTTCATCCTTTTGTGTTGGTGGAGATGACCTTGAGTTTGGGACTATATAAGGAGGTGGACAAAATAGATGAAGTTAGCTGAGTTTGAGACGTCGCCCTGTCTATTTTCTGTCCCTTCTACGCTTTGATGCTTCTTCTCTACCCCAGTCTCAGGTTATTTCAACATGGCAGTTATAATATGTGAGCATACGCACAAAAATATAATTAAAATAGAAGATATACATCAAATTTACATAACTGAAATAACATTCGAAAAACACGAGTTAGTCTGTATTCAGGACATTTCCGTATTGTAGATGCTAACAATAGATGGTGGCAACCGGGCCCATTAGAAAATGGCAAAAGGATAAGACAAATTTTTCAAGAGAATGATTCTTTTAGCAAAAATGTGTTCGATTACAAAGTTATTCTGGAAGATCATGGTATTTTCTTTTTAAAGGTGTGATTTAAAAAAAAAGACTTTGTAAGATCCGGGTACTGCTAATAAATGTTTCGAAGGGCACATATAGACTTGACAATTCTTGTTTTTGTTTTGGAGCAGGATTATTAAAGTAGATAATTTAATTACAAACACTGACGAAACGGTCGTAAGATATTAGCATGCAACACGCAATCCGGTGTTGTACTCAATATAAGGTAATTTGTGTGCAATATGTTTATTCATTTTTTTTGGCTCAGCTGCGGAGTTCAGGGGTTTTTTTGGGCAGGCAATTAATGGATGAAGATATAAATATGCACGGTATTTTGGAAGAAAACGCGGGCCAAATTGCTTCTGCGAAAACTACGCAACGCACTGACAATAATATTGATGTCCTAGATGTTTATGCCAAGGGGCACAGTAAGGAAAATTATGAACGTTCAGTGTAATTAGGTAATTAATTACTTTGCGTAATAAAGGTTTCGTTATTAATTTTAGATGAACGTTGTCAACTAGGATCTAGATGTGCATTATTGGAATCTACCGAATCCACCGATATTATAATGCTATAAGGCACGCGGAGCATTTCATGGCCCTCAAGAAAATGCTCAATTGAAACGTATTTCCAAATTTCGTTTTTTTTTTTTTATTTCGGAGCGCAACAAGCGCTGCCGATTTCTTTTCCCAGGGTCGAAACGCGTAATTTACGTGCCCCGCTACTTACGTTGCACATGGCTAGGATACATCAAGCGCTACCTGGGGGCATCTAGGAACTGGTAAAACTACGGGGTGGAAAGTGGTTGACTCAGTGCTCGCCTACTCCGACGTGCTCACCAAATACCTCCAGAACCCCTTCTTCGACTCCGCAGTTTTTCAGTCACTAGTTGTCTCTAGATTACGGAGCATGTAACGAGCACCCCGAGCTCCGCTGCTTGCAATTCATTCGTACCCGATAGTAGAGCAAATTCCGTAACACTGAGTGAATTCAGATGATTTCAAAGTGGGAAAATATTTTTTGATGATTTTGCGTTTCTCCATTTATCGGGGCATGTTTGTACGCCCCCGCAGGGGGCACCTGTGAAAGCAGGTGTTTGGAGAGTGGCGTCTCCACGGACCCCGAGCCATGCGGGTTCGCCCGCCCACGTCTGACTGTGCGTGGCTTACCCGTGTCTGGGGAAAAGGGCATCCTGGTGGTTGAGCCGAGCCCGGGGTAGGTTTGGACCCTTCGGGGCCCCCCGGGCGAGGCAATACACCACTTCGGCCCCCGCTTCTCATAGACGGGAGTCCTGGTAAGGCCCGGCCAGGATGATTCAGTCTGGTCGCCACTCCTTCTACTATCCCCTCCCTTCTTTCACCCTTGTCTCCTCCTTCTTTTCACTCTTCTCATTTCTCTTCTTTCCTTTTCAACTTCTTTGGCGGCAAGGGCTAACCTTGGGTGGTGACAGATACTCTCGTCCAGATCCACACTTGGTTATAGTTTCTGGGTAGCGCTAATAGAGTAATGCTTCCAGCAAAGCCATATTTGTTATGGGGTATTACCTATTCCCTCGTTGGGCTCCGTGGTGGGCGGCGTGCCACAGATTCCGAAAACCCTTTGCCTTTTTATGGCGCCCCTCTCTTCTCAACCCCGAGCAGAGCGACCCCCGAAAAGGGTTCGCCCCGCTCCCCTTACTTTTGAAAAAGCTAATGAACCTGAAAAATATCCTCGATTTCTTGTAGTACACTCCGCAAGTGACACTGTGCATTTGTCAAAAGTTTCTCCCTTTGTGATTGCAAAGCATCTT